CCCAGGTGGGGTCTCGCTTCCAGGCCCACTCCTGGGGTCTGCCCTGGGGCTGGGGCCCCTGCAGTGGAGGAGTTTGGTGGGTGACCTGCCCCTGAGGCCCATGTCTGAGCCCCGGCCCTCCCCCAGCACCCCCACACTCCAGCCTGCAGGAGGTAGCCCCCCCAAACCCCGCCCAGCCCTGTCCACCCCACTCATCTGCACCGTCTCTCTGCAGAGGCCCAGCGCCGGCCCTACTATGCAGACTACTCACCCACACGCCGCTCCATCCACTCCCTGTGCACCAGCCACTACCTGGATCTCTTTATCACCTTCATCATCGGTGTCAACGTCATCACCATGTCCATGGAGCACTACAACCAGCCCAAGGTGGGGCTCGCTGCCTGCAGGCCAGTAGCCAGGAGATAACCCCCTGCGGGGCCACTGCCTGGGGAACCGGGGGCCCCAGGTCTACAGCCATGCCTCAGCCCTCTCCAGGGTTTATGGGGTCCACCGAGGTGTGGCTTGAACAAAGCGTCCTCATTCCTTTAAAACGGGTGGAAATTCCCAGAGCCACCTGCTCCAAGGGCCTCCCCGACGCCAAGAGAAGTTGGATCCAAAATGTGGGCAGTGGGACTGTGCCCAAGTCCAGCTTCCCAGGCTGTGAATTCCACAGTCCAGGAAAAGCTAGACTTGAGAGAGGGGACTGGGCAGGAGACGTCCTCTGGTAGCATCTCCACCATTCCGTTAAAGACCCCGTCCTCCCCGGGAGCAGAGAGCCTCTGACTCTTTATGTGAAGCTGACTCATGTGCAGGGCCGGCCCCTGCTCTGGCTGTGGGTGGGGCTGGTCTAGGCAGGGCCAGGAGTCTGTGCTCTGAGGGACAGGTTCTCCCCACCTGAGGGTTATCCTCAAAATGCTGCGAGGGTAAATGCAGGTGACCCTCCTTGTCCTGGCAAGACCTACGTCCAGTAGTGACTGGGTCTCAGAGAGACCTGTCTCATGCGAGGGGAGGTTTCCAAGTCAGCAGAGAAGAGAGATGGGGCAGGGTGGTCAGGGCCCAGGTACGGGGTGGGTGGGGCACCCAGTGTGGTTGTTGGAGGAGAGGCGGGGCGGGGGTGGGGGGCAGGGGGGGAGGGGCACCCCGAGCAGGGTGCCTCCAAAGCCTGACGCTCCGCCCGCAGTCTCTGGACGAGGCCCTCAAGTACTGTAATTACGTCTTCACCATCGTCTTCGTCTTCGAGGCTGTGCTGAAGCTGGTGGCCTTTGGATTCCGGAGGTTCTTCAAGGACAGGTGTGTGGGGCAGGGGCGGGTGAGAGCCTCAGCCTGAGGCCCGAAGAGGTAATGGTGCCTTGTAGAGGTGCAGGCCACCCTGTGGTGACACCAGAACAATCCCAGGGGACAGGGAGGAGAATCCTCTTGCTCTGAAGGGCTGGGGGTGCCGAGGAGGAGGTGGTGGCTGACACTGAGCCTCGCCTGTCCCCCCGGCCCAGATGGAACCAGCTAGACCTGGCCATCGTCCTGCTGTCCATCATGGGTATCACCCTGGAGGAGATCGAGATGAACGCAGCACTGCCCATCAACCCCACAATCATCCGCATCATGCGTGTGCTTCGAATCGCCCGAGGTATGCTGCCCGCCCATCCTGCCGAGATGCCCCTGGGCAGTCAAGAGGGCTTTGCTGATGGCCAGTTTGGCATGGGACCTTCAGCGGGGCTCCGCTGTCCACACCCCCACTGCGTCCTTCCTTGCCACACACCAATGGACCAGGTGCTGGTGATGGGGAGTGGTCTGGGTCTGGCCAGCCGTGGAAGGGTCAGACTGGCCTGAGACCCCACTGCCCCCCGCTAATGCTTGGCTCCCGGCCCTAGTGCTGAAGCTGCTCAAGATGGCCACTGGCATGCGGGCCCTGCTGGACACGGTGGTTCAGGCGCTGCCCCAGGTAGGTCAGCAGCTCCAGGGCCTGACCCAGGTCTGGCTTCCCTCCTCCCAGGGTGGGCATCACAGGTGCCCCCGGGAGGATGAGGCTGCAGGGAGGGCCTCACTTGCTGTCAATCACATATCACTCATGCATGTGTTCCGCCGTTCTTGCAGTAACTGCCTCCTACAGGGAGTATTCAGCTGTGCTGTGAGAGGGGTGGGCCAACTGCCTTCTGGGCCTCAGTCCAGTTTCTCTGGGGAAGACTGATAACCAGTGCCCACCTCCCCCAGTGCAATTCAGGATGCAGTGGGGTTCAGGCCAAGGGCGGAGCCTGTGGCTTAGGTGGGCTTGCCTGAGTTTGGAGGACCATAGCCAGGGCTCAAGTATTGGCCAAAGGTCTCTTTTCTCTAGAGCCAGTTGAGGCCCTGCATCCTGTGCCCACAGCCACCACCCCGATCCTTTCTGGCCTCTAGACTTGAAAGAATCATTGTCTCATCTCTGCAGTACCCAGTCCTTCCCATCCACCTTACCAGCCAGCCATCCATGTGTCCATTCTTCATGGATCTCTCTCAACCAACCATCTATCCACCCAACTGCCCATCCTGTGTTCATCCATCCAGATAGCTGTCTGTTCACTCATCCACCCATGTGTCCACCACCCATCGTCCAGCCCTGCTGGCCAGCTCTCTGTCCACTAGTCCAGCTGTTCCTACCCAGCCAGCTGCCTCCCAGCCACCTACTCACTCCGACAGCTGCCTGTCCACCCAGCACCCCATCCACCAACCATCTACTCATCCATGCACTCAGCAGCTCCCCATGCCCTTTGCCTGCAGCCGGTCCTCACTCATCCCTTCAGCAGCATTCCTCAGCCCTCAGTGCTTCTCTGTGACTGCCTGGTGTCTGTCAGATGGGAGGGGATCAAGGCGGGAAGCCTGGGCCTGGCCACACCCCAGTATACTACCTCGGAGGGCTGGAGCAGATGCTGGAGAAAAGGGGGAGCAGTCACATCAGGGTCATGGGAGGCGTGTGAGGACGTGGCTCCCTGCCTGGGGTGGAGCCTGAGCACTTGCAGGGATGGTGGGCGGTGAGTCCACAGGAGGGCCTGGGGCAGGGGTCAGGTGAGGCCTCGCTCAGTCTGCAGAGCTGCAGCCCTCCTCTCGCCATGGGGACCCCGCAGCTGGAGGCAGGCCCTGCACAGAGTCCACCAGAGTCCCAGGGAGGCCTTCCAGACCCTGAGGGGTGGAGGAGCTGGAGGCAGGGTAGTCCTGGGTGCAGGGTGAGCGGAGGAGCCAAGGAGCGGCAAGAGGCCAGCAGAGGGGCCTTGGGCGCCAGGCAGGACAGGGAGCCCTGGGGGCCACAGGAGCTTCGGGGCCCAGGAGGAGGAGTTAAGAGCAGGCGTCAAGGCAGTCCCTGGGAACGTGACTCCCCGGCCAGCGCAGTGACTCCCCGGCCAGCTGCGCGCGGTGAGAAGGGTGGGGAGGGGCCGAGGCCACCCTGACCTCGTTCTACTTCTCTCCTCGTGTAGGTAGGGAACCTCGGCCTGCTTTTCATGCTCCTGTTTTTTATCTATGCTGCCCTGGGAGTGGAGCTGTTCGGGAGGCTCGGTGAGTGCGCCTGCGCAGTGCCGGCCTCCGTCCCCACCCGCCCTACATGGGATTCGGAAGGTAGAGCTTCACGCATGCGCACACAGCCCGCTCACAGCTCGGGGTGCTGCGGGAGGTGGACATGTAAGCAGCTTCTGCAGAAGCGTGGTGCCACACCCGTGACACGCACACAGACACGCACACATGTTCCGACTGTGGCCAGGAGGACAGAGCCACGTGTCAGTGCACATGCACACACACGGGTGTCCACCTGAACCCCACCTGGTTGACACGGGACATGCTGCAGCAAGTCCTTCTTAATTATCACGAGGAGTTTCCTTAGACCCCCAGGCCTGAGGCTCTGGCCAGACTGGATGGGACCCGTGGGGACCTTTGGTGGCAGCTCAGACCTTGGGGGGCCCCCATTCTTTCCTGTCCAGGTGCCACTGAAGAGGCGCAGTGACTTCCAAGAGTCATTAGTGGGCCTGCCTGTTAGGTGGTTGAGGTGGCTTAGTAGCTGGTTGTCCAGACCCTGTGACTGAGCACTCTTGGCCCCTGGCTCAGGATCTGGGGCACCTCATGCCCCAGGGTGGCCCCATCACTGTGCAGAGCCCGAGGGCATGCCAAACCATAGGTGGACCTGGGGAGCTGGCAGTGCTGTCCTCTGGGGCTGAGCAGAGCCAGGCTCACACCAAGGGCTTGGCCAGTGCACCCAGACACAGCATGCATTCCCCAAGGCAGACCCCAGGCCTAGGAGGAGCCACCTTAATTTGAAGGGACGTGCCCCCTGACCCTTACCTCCTGTAGATGGCTGCATGCCAGGGCCCAAGAGCTAGGCCCCTGCCGCATCCCAGAGGAGCATAACTTCTCCCTGGGGGAGGGGCAGGGCAGCAGCATGCACCACACCAATGGGCGGGCTACCCGGGTCCCTCCCGGCAGAGTGCAGTGAGGACAACCCCTGTGAGGGCCTGAGCAGACACGCCACCTTCTCCAACTTCGGTATGGCCTTTCTCACGCTGTTCCGAGTGTCCACGGGGGACAACTGGAATGGGATCATGAAGGTAGCAGCCTGGGCAGTGGGCCGGGAGGTGGGAGGCGGTGGGGTGGCCCTGGCAGCGGAGAGGGGAGCCTGCCGGCCACCCTCCGTCCACAGGACACGCTTCGGGAGTGCGCACGCGAGGACAAGCACTGCCTCAGCTACCTGCCAGCCATCTCACCCATCTACTTCGTCACCTTCGTGCTGGTGGCCCAGTTCGTGCTGGTCAATGTGGTGGTGGCTGTGCTCATGAAGCACCTGGAGGAGAGCAACAAGGAGGCCCGTGAGGATGCCGAGCTGGACGCTGAGCTTGAGCTGGAGATGGCTCAGGGGCCCCCCACCCGCTCCAGGCCTGGGGCCCCGCAGAGCCTGGGCACCGGGCCAGACACCCCCAGTCTACTGGTTGTGCGCAAGGTATCCGTCTCTCGGATGCTCTCACTGCCCAACGACAGCTACATGTTCCGGCCCGTGGCGCCCGCCGCTGCCGCTCACCCCCAGCCACTGCAGGAGGTGGAGATGGAGACCTACCCAGGCACCTTGGGTACGACCCCTCGCAGAGGCAGCCTGGTGGTGGGTGGGTAGGCGAGCAGGCAGGCAGGTCGGGGTCATGGGCCTGGTGACAGCTTCACATTACAGGCCCTCCCCCACCCCAGGTCCAGTCACCTCCACCAACTCGCCACCTGTGGAGTCCTGTGCCTCTCTCCAGGTCCCATCAGCCACAGCCTCCCCAGCCATGACCAGCAACACTCTCCGTGCTCTGCCCCCTCGGGGTGCAGCCTGCTCCCCCAGCCTCAGCCGGCTGCTCTGCAGACAGGTAGGAGGAGCCCCCGATCCTTAGCCGAGGCCTGAGGGTCTGTGGGGATTCCTTCCCCATTTGAGGAATGAGTGATGGGGACACTAGGGAAGTGGGTGCCATGTCCCTGGAGCCTGTGATGATGGTACCTGGCCATGGGGACCTGCATTCCCTCCTCAGGCAGCACCTTGGACCCCAGGAGCCACCAGCAGTGATTTCTCAGACCCTACCTGTACCCACAGACCACCGCCCTGTGGCTTCAGCCCCTTTCCTTTCCTCCCTCCTCAAGAGTGCCAGGATGGGCTCTTGGTTCACAGGGTGGGGTGGTCGCTGGGGCTCCAGGGGCCTATAGAAGCTTATGTCCATAGGAGCTCAGGCCCGAGCCCTCTGCTCCTCACAGCCCCTCCCCAGTTTGACCAGCATGGTGGCTGGATACTGCATGCAGTCTGGGGGACAGTGTCCCCACACCGGCAGCTCCCAGCCCCTAGTCTTGGGGGTCACAAGCCCACTCTGACCCAGAGGTGGGGAGGTATCTCTGTGCCCCAGCTGCTGCCTGTGCTCTGCCTGGTCTCACCCGACTTCGTATCCTTGCAGGAGGCCGTGCACACCGAGTCCCTGGAAGGGCAGGTTGACGCCCCCGGGGACAGCAGCCCTGGTTGGGCAGAGCCTGGCGGGAAGACCCCTGTGAGGCAGGCGTCCCTGGGGGCCTCCTTGCGGTCCCCGCCCCGTTCCCCGAGGCCCGCCAACGTCCGCACCCGCAAGCACGCTTTTGGACAGCGTTGCATCTCCAGCCGGCCGCCGGCCCCAGGCGGAGAGGAGGGCGAGGCCCCAGACGCGGCCGATGAGGAGGTCAGCCACATCACCAGCTCTGCCCGCAGCCCCTCGGCCTCGCCTGCTGCCCGTGGGGTGGTGGGTGGTGAGCCAGCCCGGCACGGGCTCTACAGTGTCGGCGCCCAGGGCTTCCTGGAACAGCCGGGCCGAGCCGACGAACAGAGGCGGCCCTCAGTGGAGCAAGGCTGCGTAGACGGCCGCCCAGAGGCCGGTGAGGTGACGGCCCGGGCCCAGGAGGCTGAATTGGCTCTGGGGTCACGCAGGAAGAAGAAGATGAGCCCCCCCTGCATCTCCATAGACCCCCCCGCGGAGGATGAGGGCGCGGCCCGGCCCCCTGCGGCGGAGGGCAGCAGCACCACCCTGCGGCGGAGAACCCCGTCCTGCGAGGCCGCACCCCACAGGGACCCCCTGGAGCCCATGGACAATGCAGGGGTGGACGCTGCTCCCAAAGGGGAGCGGTGGGGCCAGGCCCCCTGCCGTGCAGAACACCTGGCCATCCCAAACTTTTCCTTTGAGACACTGGACATGGGGGGCCCTAGCGGGGGCCTGTTCTTCGACGGCGGCCATGGTGTTGCCGCAGAACCCAGACTTTCATCCTCAGGTGCTACGGCACCTCCGGAACCTCAGCAGACCGAGCCACCCACTCCACCTGGTGACCCCCCAGGAGAGGGACAAGGGCTTCACCTCACAGTCCCCCAGAGTCCCCTGAAGAAAGGGCCCCCCCCAGCCACCAGCACCCTGGGTGACAGTGTAGATGAGCCCGTGTAGCTCGAGGTGCAGTACGCACTGGCTTTGGCCCTGGGGTTGGGGTGCACCCAGCAGGGTGGTGGCGCCAGGCTGGGCCATCCGTGGACCCCAGGTCAGACCCCACCATGGGTAGAGGAGCCGGGTGAGTGTCAGCCCAGTACGCGGGGAGGCAGACGCTGTTCCGGGTGCAGCGGAGCCTGGGGAGCCCGTGGACTGAAGCCTCCCTCCCGTCCATTCAGGTTTGGGATTTCCGAGTTTGCCGCCCTGCTCTGAGGCCGGGTTGCGGTCTGGTCATCAGTCCTGTAACAAAAGCTGTGTCCAAGGGACAAGGAGCAGAAAATGACCAAAAGGGGAAAAGCAGAGGCCATCCAGCAGAGCGCGATCCTCACATCCACTTATTTTTATAGGGAACACGCTCGGGGCCACTTGTGCCGTCTGGGTGGCGGCTCCATCCCCGAGGCTACGTGGCCACGCTTCACGTCACTCACAGTCTGAGTTCTCATCTGTTTGTCTCCACCCCTCATCGCTCCCCTCTGTGCCCACTCCCCACTTCTGTCCCCCTCGGCATTTGGAGAACACCCCTGACTGGACTCTGGGAAACGGCCGGTCACCAGGGCTTTGGGGACTTTCCAGTGAGACCCCTGCTGCCCGTGGGGAGTTTCAGCTGATACCCCTTGTTTCATTTCATTTCTTTTATAAATTCAGGTTAAACGTTGCAATAATATGAAGCAGAATACTCCGCTTCTCAAGTCAAGGGGACTTGGGATTGGGGGCAAAGCAGAGCAGAATAAATATTAACTTATTTAAGAAAAGCATTGGATTTCCACAGTCAGAATCCATCCCCTGCGTGGGAGAC